GCCGCTGCCCAGAGAACCCAATACCCCTTAATTAAGGAATATACCTTAAACTATAGGGCCCTTAAGAATATGATTTGAGGTATATTCCTTAATTAAGGGGTATTGGGTTCTCTGGGTATTGCTTTACCGATCTCGGATTGGCAGAGTAGTGAACTGCTCAAAGCGGACCCAGAGTGGGCAGGTGGCTGCTTGTTGGGAGCTGGCGTGTTGAGAGGGTGTTCGATGGGAAAGTGTCCCGTTCTGAGCATACTACGGCGACTACTGCACCTGCTTCCGATTATGCAATCCGACACTGCACTCTGAATCCGCAGATAAGTGCAGAGCACTTCGTGCGTCCTTTCCAATTCAGCCAATCCTGCTTGGAGGTTAGGGGCTGGCTTTGAGGATGCTCGAATATGGTTTCTATGCCACGATAAGCATGTGGGTGTATGTGTGTGTGTATATATATATATGCAGATAGACACATAGACATAGATATATACGTATGTACATGTACATACACATGTACATATACAGGGCGATGGTTTTTCAGGCGCCATGGTTCAGCACATGGAACGCCGCTATCAAGCACTCGCGCCGGATTCATCGGGAAAAGGCAACGGGTTGGACTTTTCAGCCGCATGGAAAAGATGTTTCAGACACGCGCAACGGAACCCTATACCCTAAACCCAGCCCAAAACCTCCACATGGGAATGATAATTCCGGTGTATGTTCTCGACAATTCCCGCGCATCTCTTTGAGAAATCGCGCTTTTCTCTAATAGAGCTGGCCTTTATTCCCCGACCATGGCACGATGAAAAATCAAGAATTCATGCAAACAGACAACTCACTACATATACCAATACATATGCATATGCATATACATATACATACCCATATACATGTGCATATTCATATGCATACACATATGCATATACATATACACATACATACATACATACATACATACATACATACATACATACATACATACCTGCCTACCTACATACACACATACGTACGTATGTACATACGTACGTACATGCGCAGATACATACATAACATACATACATACATACATACATACATACATACATACATACATACATACGTACATACATACATACCTGCCTACCTACATACACACATACGTACGTATGTACATACGTGCGTACATGCGCAGATACATACATAACATACATACATACATACATACATACATACATACATACATACATACATACATACATACCTGCCTACATACACACATACATACATACATACATACATACATACATACATACATGCATACATACATACATACATACATACATACATACATAAATACATACATACATACATTACATTACATTACCTTACCTTACCTTACATTACATTACATTACATTACATTACATTACATTACATTACATTACATTACATTACATTACATCACATACATACATACATACATACATACATACATACATACATACATACATACATACATACATACATACATGTATATATATATATATATATCTATGTATATGTATTCGTGCGTGTCTGTGTGCATGTCTTTATGTGTTTAGCCGGGTTCAGGGTTCACGAGTTGGTACAGGCAAGGCTGTCGGTACATTCATTGGTGTGGTGGCTACTCAAAACCACGGCAAGTACCTGCAAACTAGAAACCCCTTCGCGGCCGGCATGCAGACAGATAGAGATTGGGCTTTGAAGGCTTAGGGGGTTTGTGTTTCAGGACCTTGGGCTTCAGGTTAGAGCATTAGATCCCGTGTTGTAGGCTCGCTGCAGTCCTGAATGAGCTGCTTCTGGCTACCCGTATGCCGAAGCAACCAAAGCAGGAGCTCAGATAAGCTCAGGGCTCAGAGCCTTGACGTGGCTTTTTGGGGCTGTCGAAGCTCCTGAGATCCCTCAATACCCTGATACCCTAAAGACCTAAAACGTTCAGCCTGAACCCCCGAAAACCAGAGAAAGCGATCCAAACGAACCAAAAACTGCGCCTGAATGTTACCTTTCTACCGCCCTGAAACTCGAACGACCCACCCGGCGCGAGTTCTTCAAAGTGCCGCCTCGTTCAGCCACTTGCCACCATCCCCCGCAGAGACCTGCTGCTTCCGGATGGATCCATCTCCCAGCAGATCCTTCTCCTGGCTTCGGCTCGCTATAGTATGATGTAGTATAACAGAGTATAGTATAGTATAGTATAGTATAGTATAGTATAGTATAGTATAGTATAGTATAGTATAGTATAGTATAGTATAGTATAGTATAGTATAGTATAGTATAGTATATCATCGTATATCATAGTAAGGGTTTCTTTTCGGAGCTTTGCGGGTTGCAGGAGCTTGTGCCAGGAGATTCAGGGCTGAGGCTATAGGGATTCCGGGTACTGCGGCTTACGACTAGGAAGGCCACCAGGACGGGAAAGATTTGCAGTGACTACGAGCGCATGACTGCTAGGGAGGAGATAGGTCTCCCATCAAAAGAAGCCTCCACCTGATCCATGGACAGCTGTACAACTCTGAACCTAGACCCCACAATCCCCTACGGATTAGGCTCTGAGGTTCCAACTTGACCCTAAACCACAAAACCCTGAGTCTAAGCTACTTCTTGAACCACTAAACCCCAGTGATGTAGGGGCCTTAATAATTAGAAGAGGGTTTTGGGGTTTTAGAATTGTTGTATACTATACCCCAATCCCTATTCTAACTATTAAGGCCCCTATATCAGCC